CTCTTCCGAGGCCCTCTTGAAGCATCTGGCCCTTGAGGCTGCCAAAGACACACATGCGGACTGAGTCCTTTTCTTTCTTCATCAAAAAAAAATTCCCTCCGGTAACACGGAAGTGTCGATGTTCACTATCAAGAGCAGGAGAGCAGTCAATTCCTGTAAGTCCATGCTGGCAAAGAGAAAAGAGCCCTCTTAGAAGGGATGCCACTTGCAGTGTTAAGCTTATTGCTCAGCTTTATCCACTGTCCTTTGGCTCCTTGTGTGATGTGGTGAGGATTTGACAAATGTCTGAGCTGGCACCAAACTCTGCAAGCAGATGGACATGAGTGTACATATCCAAGAGACAATCCCTTTGTCACTCTTACAGGCATACAGAGCAAGATATCTAGCTGAGAATGTCCAAATTACTATTGATTCAGAGTTTACAAGCATATAATCCAGGGATGGTACAATCATTGTTCCAGTTTTCATCTAGAATCACTGCCACTAAAGGGCAAGTGTTTGTCCTATTTGAATCAGATACAGCGCTGTAAGGAAGTGGAAAATGGGCACTGGAAGGAAATAATCGTTTTCTTTCTGTGGAAAGAGTTGTATTGCAGAATGAATCAAATCAGCCTTCTCTTATTCAGCTGAGTCTTTATGAACAAAATGAAAAGATCATCTCCCTCCCTGCAACGTATAGGAGTATGTCCACAAAAGCCAATTTGTCATTTAAACAATATTTTCTGTTTATAGCTTTGATATAAGCATTGCATATGTATGTGTTTTTCCTTGTAGTATACAACCTATTTTTCCATCAGGAGAGAGAGGTGGACACAGCAGGCTGTTAAATATCTTATTACGCATTTACTCACTGATGAGTATTTTCTCTGCACAAAATCTTACCTGCTAAAAAATTATAATTCGTTACTGAGACATGACTGCCTGGGCAAGTGAAGGGAGGGACCAGGATGAGGATTTTTGCATACTCAGCCAAGACTCTTAAGTGGAGTACAAAGTATTGTACTGTGATCATTTGAAGGCCAGCAGTATGATACTATTTTTAAGAACGTTATAGGATAATTATAACTTTAAAGGAAGAGAAGGGAACTCCTTCACGAAGGCTTCTTTTGTACATTTTCTGTTCCAGATGGCTGCCCAGGGCTCTGCTATGGAAATGGGAGATGCACTCTTGATCAGAATGGATGGCACTGTGTTTGTCAAGTGGGCTGGAGTGGTACAGGATGTAATGTTGTCATGGAAATGGTGTGTGGAGATAACCTGGACAATGATGGAGGTAGGATACATAATTCATGTCTCTTCATTTATTCTTCACATCTTTTAGCGTCCTTTATATATATAGTTTTGGTGTATATTTTCCTTTCTATCGCAGAATGTCAGTGTTTTGCTTGTTTACTCAAGACAGTCGTTCATTTGACTGGAGCTGACCAGGGCAGTGAGTGAACGATTGCAGGATCAGACCTTCGTGTTAGACTTTCTTGAGGGCAGAATCTGTGTATAGGCTTATGCCATCCCTGCTGTCCTAGGACCTGAGCGTTTTCCAAGAAAAGCATATTTTAATAGTCACTATTAAATGTTATTTTATCTCCTTTCCACTCTCCTTCACATTCAGGATAACTCTAATATCTATTGAAAAAAAAGGAGAGAGAGACCGAAACCTTCTGTCCTAATGCTCTGTGCCTGACAAAGAGCATCCACAGGTTCCTAATCTTACATTAATATTAAATAAATACATTTGCAAACATAAAGTACACATTTAGAGATGCTTTTTCAAGGTAAATCTGTTTCTTAATGTTGCCTTTGGGATGCAGTACAGCTCTTAGAACTGTCTGGACCTGTACTTCAACAGCTGTTGAGCGAGTTAGTGTAGAAAGTGTGCGGAAGGAATATTGGAAAGTACCATAAACAGAGCCCTCTGCAAAATTACTCTTTCACTCTTTACCACCGGTTGGACCAGGGCATTTGCGGTTAGGTGCTCCCTACTTCAGCCCTTAGCCTTGATTCATTTCAGGGCTTTGTACGTTTGAGGACTACTGGGGAACATAGTTCTTTCACAAAGTAGTCTGCCTCATTTCTAGGCGTTCATGCTCACGCATGGTCTAGTGTGTTTCTTTCAGGAAAAATATCCTGTCTTTATGTCAAAGCTTCTAGTTCTAGCAGCAGAAAAGCGACAGCAATCCTTACTGATTGTTCTGGGAGATATTTTTTTTTTTTTTATGAGAAATACTTCTTTACCTGGCAGTCAAAAGGGCTGTTGTTTTCCTTCTCTTTAGTTATTGCCATCCCTTACAGTGTGCTTGCTCCCATACTTGGAGCTGTGCAGGTTTCTCGTTCATACTGTAAATATATCTGCCCTCAGCACGATTATATTCTTTGTCTTTAAACTTACCTTTGGGATGTATTGAGATAAGTGCTATTTGATTGTGTCACACTTAACAGACCATCTCAGTGTCTTGGGTGAGATCTCACACCCCAACATAGTGTCAAATCTTAGTATAACGATTGTATATTTTCCTCTCGGTCATTGATAAAATAGGTTGGATTTAGGGCCAAGAACTGAGGTCACTGTGGGACCTCAGTAGAAAGAGTCTGACTTCAGTGATGATTTCTCATTTGCGGATATATTTTGAGACTTTCTGATTTTGTATCCTGTGGGCTCTATGACCCTGCTGTCCTTTGGCAAAGGCTTCCTCATTTCTGAATCCCATTCAAAATTGCCTTATCCCTCTCTCTCATCCTTCTTCCTTTTCCACCTTATTTCCAAGTCCTCGGTAACCATCTCTCTGCCCACTCACTCGGCTCTTCTAAGCTCAGTGGCCCGGGCCGTATCCCTGTCGCACGAGTGCCTGCAGCTGGGATCGCTGCCTCCTGCGTGCTTTCCCATCTGTCTGCAGCTCTCCCCTGCTGCCCCAGCCACTGAGTCACTCGCGCTCTTAAATCTGTCCACAAAAACCCTGTTTAGCCTATAATGTATGTAAAGCATTTTCTGATACACTCTGTGAACTGGCTCTACATAAATTGCCCTGCATTGTGATTTTGTATGCTTTATATTCTGCAGTAACAGTGAGTTATTGAAAGAGTTGGCAGTCTGAACTCTAAATCTCCTTGAATTTGTCAGTTTAAGGCAGATACTTAACATCGTTTCACTGCAGATTTTAAAAGTAATTTTCTTTTTCTTTTTTAATGGTAGCATAACATGTAGTAGGACAGCTCTGTTGACATTACAATTAGAGATAAGTGCAGAGAGAAATATTTAATTAATCCAACTACTACAGATGGGCTAAATGTAATTAAGTTTCCTTCACAATCAATTTTATATTAAGAAAAGAAAATTATATCTACATATTGAAACCATTTCTCTTTATATATGAAATTCAAAGGCCTGATTTGGCATAAGCATAAATTAGAAAAAAAATTCCCCCAAAGTCACTGGCGATACACCACTGCTAAGTTACCATGAAAGCAGAAGCTGGTTCCTGGTAGTTCGGCGTTTGTACACGCAGGACGATAAAACAGGACGCAGGAGAGCGACATGACGTTACCTGTGCAGTCCTGTTGGCTGGGAGATCGTTGCGTAGACTGTGAGCAGGTTGTGGCAGCATAACAAATTATCCTCCATCCAGCGAGGTGACTGGATTAGGTTTGCAAAGATGGAAGCTAATATGTTTTTGCCTGCAGTTGTGGTGAGCTAAGAGCATGCACTTAGTTGAGTTAGAGAAAGTCAGGTGACAGGTGGTAGCTTCTTTAGTTATGATGTGATCACGTTCAGCCACAAGAGATCACTCTCTAGTACCTAATTTAGTGCAGCTGTATATTCCAGATCACGATTTTCCCGGCTAGGAGAGGCCTTATTTATCCCAATTGTGTTTAAATCAAACATTTATATCTCAGTCTTTAGAAGGTGTTTTATGCTTCAGGTTCATTAGGAGAAAGTCACAACCAAAGAATAAAGTTGTAATAATGTCATGCAATTATTATTCCGAGCAAGCTCTAATTTCAGGGGTTAGTGACCATGATAATTTTGTGCAGTTTCTGGTTGATTCATTATACATACTTTCAGAGACTGAAAACCTGACATTTTTTACTATATAAAAATACATAGTAGAAAAAATGTGTAACTTTAATATAGGAAATAAAAGTATTTTATTAGTTCCAAGTATAGGCATCAAATAATGTCCCTTTCTTGGAATAAGGAAGTGTTAGTTTTACTGTTTGGTCTGTAGTAACAGCACAAAAGCTTTGGGAGAGAGGAATTTTGCAGATTTTTTTTGTAAGGATTGCTATATTAGCATGCACAGTAAGCCATAAACATATTCCCATGCGTCCCAGTCCTACGGACACTGAAGCCTCAGTTCCACATCGGTGCAGGTTTTCATGGTGATAAGGTTAAAGACATGCAGAAACACTTTTCCCGAGAAGGGAGAGAACTTTTTCTTTGAGACCCCATTAGTATCCACAGTACTTGGACCCTGTCTGTACCGTGACCGTCTCTCTGCCTTTCCATCTCATAACTCTTGGTTAGCTTTTTCCTACTTTTAGACTTAAGGGCATGTTTACCTGTTCAAATATCACTACAAATATCATTCAAAAGGTCTTAGCCTTATAACAGATGCGCGACGAGATGGTTTGCACTTGCTCTTGCGGAGTACATCTGCAGTCTGTTAGCAGTGTAATGTCCATTAAATAAAGCCAAGATCTCAAACAGATGTCCTTTGCGGTGGGATATGACTCTCTCTCGCTATGGCTTTCCTCTACGTTACGTTATTTCCTGTTCTCATTTCGTATTCTCATTCTTTCATTGTAGTGACTGACATGATTTCGTTCTCAGTTTATAAGATGACGATTCAGCTCATTTGAGCAGGTCATTTTCTCCTGTCCTGCCATTATTTCTGACTTCTTTTGGAAGCTTCAGTAGCTCCAGGAAATTGCTTGAAACGCTCTGCTGAGTGCTGTTAATCCGACTATCGGTGCCCAAGGCCTGAGGAGGCAGAGCGCTCCGGCGCAGCGGCACTGGGACGTGCAAGGTGCTGCGGACCAGCTTGCAGGTCACTCCTCTGCCCTGGCAAGCCTCAATTTACATGCTATTCTCACATATATTTACGTTGATACTGTACGTGCAAGCGCAAAGAGGCAGCCCATCATTCCCCTTAATTTCTTTGATACTGATCTCTGTTTTAAATTTACCCAGATCTCTTTTCATCGTTTTATTTCTATCGTGAATCAATCTATCTCAGCTGTTTGTTTTAAAGGAAAATATTGTTTACTGCAAACTTTGAATTTGCTTCCAAAAGTCCCTTCAGTCATTTACTGTAGCATTCTCCAAGCTTTTCAAAGCACAAGAAAACATATGACTCAGCATAGCCTTTGGGTGATAGCCAGTGCAGCTAAAATATTGATGTATTACTGACCCATCCATTGGCATTTTAATAGCCTATCCATCACAGAGATATTGAGTCCATATATAAGTAATATGCTATTATTACACAATATATATAATACTGATGGGAATGGTTTTCAGCGAGGGCTCCCCAGGGATGCTTGCTGTTGCTGAAAATCATACCCTGATTTGTTTGCATCCTTTTGTGTGCAGAAGGCCAAACACCACTGGTACTCATTGAATAAAACACAGTGCAGCCTTTCCGCGCACGCCCTGGCTGGTTTCGAATGTCCTGATGCGAACCCCAGCGTGCTCAAGTCAGCAGCTGCCCTGACTGCTGTGGCGTCCTATATATTACAGCTAAAATTTGAGAAGAAGTTTGGATTAATGCATACAAAAAAGCCTTACTGTCTCGTTAATGTTAGTGCTGCTTAGTCTTTTCTAAAGTTACTGTTCAATTCAGTTTGCTCAGATTCCTGGCAACTCTAATTGGACTTAACTGAGCCTGTGGTGAAGCGAGTAGGCACAGGCGTTGGTTAATGCTTGCCTGAAATCTGCAGAAGAAAGCAAGCAAACATAGGTGGAAGACTCCTGTGGATTTTTTTTTTCCCACAAAGAACAATAGTATTAAGCAGTTGACTACGTGAGTATAAAGAGTGGAAATGTTAACTCTCTCAAGAGCTGACAGTCATGGCACTGAGTTTTTTAAGTTGTCCTGCATAAGGAATTCGGAGAACAAGATCTACTTGCTGAAGGGATACAGTTAAAGCCCGTTTTGCTTTCTGTGGAAATGTTACGGGCATAGGCTCTCGTAGCTCCGTCCCTGGCGTGGACTCACTGCGGTCTGTACGGGGAGGGGGAGTGCCTGCGTAGCAGTGGAAATGAAGCTCATTGGTATT